ACTAGCACAAAAGTTATGTTACATGGAGGACAAAGCATGTTTGAAGAGAATGGGACTAGAGCCTGCTACTGAAAATTACAGACCTTGGGTTGACATTTACCCATAGGAATCAAGCAGGTGACAAAGATGGAATTCCTCAGAAATGACAGCTGGAAATATAGAGGTCATGGATCTTGATTGCCTAAGAATTCAGGCAGACCAAACATAATATGAATTCACCAAATACCCACAAGACTGTAGCATCATTTGATCGGTGTTGAATTCTGCTCACGTGTGTACCAACAGCTTGCTTCCTTCTGAAACTTGAAACGAAACATGCCACATTTAGCATCACTCCCCTGAGCAACCCAAACCCTTCCCATTTTGAAAAGCCGCAGACAACTTCAGTGTAGTCTGAGACCTATGAGAAAGGTTATTCTGAAATCAAAAATAAAGTTCAATTTACTGAGCATTCCAGTTTATCAAGTGTGCTAGCTTGCACACACTCCCTTTTTAGCCAGACACATCCAGACTTTTGCTGTTTTCCTCCAAACCTTTGGGACGTCTTATTTCTGTATGTGTGAAAAAATTCCTCCTTACCAAAATTATTTATTCAAAGCCAGGGGAAGGTGTTTAAGTTCCTGCTGCAGTAGTCTGTATGGGCTAGAGCTTTCCACCGGGAGCAAGTCACACACCATCACTCATTCATTTTTTTTATCCCTGAGAAGGAATAATTTTTCATATTAGATAAGCATTTGATAACAATTTTTCAGTCCCCAGAGCCTGCCTGTAGCCCTCGATAAGCCTTAAATAGGCAACAGGAAATTCCAGCAGCATAGGGAAATGTAAGCAAGCCCAAAGCCACCGCTCCACTCACCACACGCCACCTCCACAGCATAAGGGGTGTGACTGGAGCACAGGGAGGGGAGAGGGGGCATGGACAGCATACACAATGCTCCAGTGCACAGGAGATAAGGACAAGTTCAGGGACTGTTAAACAGCCATAAACTGTGCTAAAACAAACAAACATGAAAACCAGACCAGCCGCCCTCACAAGCGCAGAAGTTTGCTACAGTGCACCTGAAGGTAAGGATCTCAATCCAAGACTTGGCTGCCACCACAGCACGTTTTGCATCCTGAAGCTCCAGATATTCCCCCAGGAGGCAAAGGGCACTTCTTTCCGCTGCCTTGAGACGAGAGGGTGGATCACCCAACAGGTAGCTACAGAAGCACTGCCTGCCACCACTCACGAATCTCCAGAAGATTGCTTTCAGATTAGGGTAATTTATTTCAAAAGCTAGAACCCTGAAAGTAAAAATCAGTGTCGTTTTTGTATACCTTCCAGCATGTCCCTCAGCAAGATATCTTAATATCTTTCTTTGAACTAATTATAGGACAGGTCTCTAAATGATGTGTCATTCTGTTTATAGGGTGCTTTCAGATAGGATTAGAAGTAATGACCCAGTTTCGGTACAGAATGTTGCATCATAAGAACTTTCTCCAAGAAGCCAGACCATAATTTCTGCTTGCAAGCTCACTCATTATCTTTCTATTAGCTTTTATCTAAAGGCAAAAGGACTGTGTGGTTCCGTGAGTGAAGAGCATTTAAATATATGACAGAAAATTGCCTTGATGTGGATAAGAAATAGTAAGGCAACTTCTCTCCACTCAAGGTTCTCTCAGGATTTCATGACGTCAGAGACAAAGGTCCCTCCGTCCTCCTATTATAGGGATCAGTATAAGGATTCAGTTTCATTCTTGGTGGTCACCACAGAGAATTATCTCCTCCGTGTCAAAAGGGTTCCACCTTAGCATCTCCCTCCCTCCCTGCCCAGCACCCTGCTTCAGCTTATAGTCCCATAACAGCCTGTCATGATTCTTCTCTAGATTCAGTTCCCAGATCCTTTCCAGACTAGAGTCCAAACTGATCATTCTTTGCAGTGAAAGCATACAGGTGCACCATGGCTACAAGCCATTGCTGGACTGATCACTCAAACCAGCTCTTTTTCTGATACCATAAGCTGACTGCTCAGCCACCAGAACTGCTGCCCATTGTATGATCCCAGGTGGGTGACACTCCAGTTGCACCATTGCTGATGACCAAACATCTGCCTGCAGAAGTCAGAGCAAAATTTAAGGCAATAGAAAAAAAGACAAGACATCTGCTCACAACCTGGCCCCCACACTCATGTACAGGGCCTCTACCCAAGGCATTTTCACCTCTTGCCACCCCAGACATCCTGATCATCAGAGCTGTTCAAAAAAGAATGGCTTTAATATACCACAGCAGCACTATTTTTGGGATTAACTTACAGAAAGTACCATTTTCTTAACTTATTTTAAAGGAAGAATGAGTGGTCCACAAGAACACAGCCTTGAACAGCAGCATTTAGATTTTCTCACCCCCACTCCTCCTGCATTGGAAAGAGACAACTTGAATTAATTTACTTTGGGACAAAGTCCTGCTATCCTACAGGCACTGGGAACATTTTGTTATTTGCCTACTTGATTAATTTAATTTTATTGCAGGCTGAGCTAACATGTTCGACAAATGGCCTTGCACACTTGACCCAAAAGTTGGATGACAAGGATATTGCTAAATTCAGAGTTTTGGAATTTAATCATATGTTTTAATCGCACTACATGCCTTAGTTATATCAAGTAGGTTAGCATGTCAAAGAGTTACTAGTATTGTAATTCTTCAGGAAGTGGCTCTTCATTGCCTTGCATGGTCAATTGTTTTATCCTCTGAAAAATAAGTCCTAAATAAGTCCTTTACCAGATTAAAGTGACCAGTAAATTGATCAACTTTTAAATTTGAAAAAAAAAAAGTCACAAAGAAAAAAACTTGTTAGTTTCCTAAATTTCCATCTTATTTAAGCCAGCACACTTAAAAACAAGATAAAAAAAAAAAAAGACTTCAAACAACAAATAAGAAGAACATATTTTAAATGCCAATCCATGTGGTGACTGAAATATCTTACACCTGCTGAACTGCACAGACAGGACCAGATGTCCCCTTTAGTGTTCCAAGAACAATTCTTACAGCAACTCAGTGTAAGAATTTCTGTTCCAAGCAGAGTCAGTTCAATCCAGAAAGAAATATTATTTAAACTAAACAGTACTGGATTAAGCTAAAATTAAAGGTCAAGTGCTCCAGCTAGACCAGTCTGAAATATTCCTGTGGTTAGATGCTGCTTCCTAAAACAAGGTTGCACATAAAGAAGGAGCAAGGCAGGTCTTAAACTTCAACAGGGAAGCAACCAAAGTGTGTAGGTGGCTAGAGAACTCAACATTCATGTGGAATTCGGATGCAATTTGGTATTTCAGGTCTTATCCCACTTCCCCTCCAGCCCAAGACTTTTGTACAGGTATTTGTGATAACCAGAACCTCCACAGGGGCTCTTGGGAGTAAATCAAAGCCAAAGATGAAGACAACCTGGCTGGGCTGGAACAACCACCTTCATGCAGATCTTGAGTCAGAATCAGAACTGTTAGAAAATGACTCACTTTTCAGAAGAATTACCTGACTTTAGGAGCACTGACTTTTGGCTCATTCCTGTCTGCTACTATTGCACCTTTACACAGATCTGTTAGCTGGCTGCAGCTACCAAGTTTTGAGTTGTCTCTGCATAAGGAGATAGAAGGACCCTCTTTACCTAAGGAGAGAGTGGGCATGGCCACAGGACCACTACAGAGCACGGCTACAAACTGCCAGATGCTAGGCCACCCTCCTTCAGTCTGATAAAAGACTTTTCTGCTGCCTATCAGCAAGTTGGTGTAGAGCCCTGATCTCTCCACATCCATCTCATTCTTGTCCCAGTGTCAGGCCAGAGCACAGGATAAGTTCTCTCCTGGTGAGTTTGGAGAACAGCTTTATGTGGAGTGGAACAAGTGTATGATGCAGAGAGGGAGGATAAACTCTATGGGGCACCATGGAGAACTAGTCAGGTAGGTAAGAGTAGCCATCAGTGTCTCATTTTCATTTACAGAAGTCAGGAAACACACACAGATATGAAATAAGCTCATTTTGCACAAATTTATACCCTTGCTGGAAACAATAACGGTTACAGTGGGGAGGGAGGCAACCACAGAAGTTAATCAAAAACAGGCAGGACACACTGTGTTTAATGTCAAAGAAGCCAAAGACAGCAGATGGCTCGCACCAAGTATCAAGAAGGGGCCAGTAAATGAAGCATAACTTGGGCTTGGCCATGAGGGAGAAACACTGAAATCCAGCTCTCGGGCCTTGCTTCTCCCAGGAGGCACCATTACGCCAGGAACAATAGGCAGGAGAACGGCATCAGCACCTTCCCCAGAGAGAGTTGCCTCAGCGAGAAAAGCACCTTGGCTAAACCACTACTTCCACCATCTGTACTATGTCTGGAGCACACCGGGGTGGAACAACCACTCAGATATTTGTACTCCTTAAGCTGTGAGGATAGAGAGAGGAAGCCCAAAACCCACATTCTTTCCCCGTTCCCCAGGAAAGTACCTGATTTAACAGACTCCTCAAAAAAACTCTTTTAAGCAGCATTTGCCTTATAGGCCTATTAGCTGTGTCTGTATTTTATTGGTAAATACGCACATCATATGGTTAATTTGGCACCAGGACATGCCGTTTGGTGGTATTTGGTAGTCTGAGAGATGGTGTCTACACCTCTTGATAAATGCAATACCCTCTAGATTCATCACTTTCTTTGCCCTCAGGCTGGCTATAGAACAAGAAACCCTTCAGTGGGTTGAAAGCTCAGGACTAGCCAATGCATGGCTTGTGACTCACATCCAGCCCACACGTGAAAATAAATATTTTCTGTGTCTTGTAAGAGTGTATTCAGACCATAAATACACACTGTCGTATACCTCTCTGTTATATATACAGAGTGTATATAATGATACACAAAGTAAAAGAAAACAGATCGAACCACAGCAAACCAAGTACTAGTAGATAAGCATTTCTCCAGAAGGGGATAGGTTAAGGCAACAAAAATTAAGAGCCTTTCACTCTTTTGCACTTGCAGAGACAGAAATAGCAGCTGGAGCAGCCGGTGAAGTTCACGACTGGGAAGGATTCCTAAGGGCCAGGAAGGCACAAAAATGAAATGGTAAGCTATGTTTTTCTTGCACTGCAAAGCAGCTGAAGTTTGGGAGCAGAGGGAATTTTGTTTAATTATCAATAGAAAATTGTCTCAAGAGCAAACTATGACTAGATATAGTCAATTAACTTTGTCCACATGAGATGGCAAGTGGAAAGTCTGGTGTTTGCAACTGAAGCCCCATCCCATTATGACCAGTGAGAAAACTTTGATCTACAGGTAGGAGATACGATCCACACCATGGTTATATAACAAAACAAGACAGGGTTGCTCACCCATCCAGCTTTGTATCCAAATTCTCTTCAGAAATGAGGGAGTTGTGAAACAGGGCAGATATATGCCAGATAAAGTCTTTGATCTCTGCTCTAGCATTCTAACAAAGCATTCATCATTTCTCTCTCTCACTTTATTAGGGAGACTTCTCTCTGGATGGTTGCCTGCTTACTGTTTGCATCTCTACCCAGAGGTAAATATACTATAATACACATCTAGCAGTACGTGGAAGTATTTATATGTGCATACACAAACTGCAAACTGACAACCCTGAAGCAAAACAAAATAAATACATGCTTTGAATGTATTTCATCACAGTCCAAGGTTTGCAAGTACACATAATAACCTTCAGATAAACCTCTGTATCTAAAAGAAATGTTTTCAAGGTTAAGGCATTTCAGGCCCACAAATATCTACTCACAAAGTTTATCCTACCCACATCCTTAAAAATACCCCAGAATTTCCATAATGTTAAGGATGGCTCGGAATCTCATCCTTTACAAGCCCCAACTGCCTTGCATCTGTTTTTGTACTTAAACTTACTACATTGCTGGACTTGCTACAGGCACAGCCAGGCAAGTGAAAGGACTGGGACCCAGCAGCATTCTCTCTCCCTTGATCTTCGCATGTGGTCTGCCCAGTTCCAGCAGAGTTGGGTTTCCAACATAAAATAGATTAGATATGATCTTCTCTATGAAAGAAACACACTAATATTTGCCGATGAGGGAGTGTTCTACAAGCTGCAGGGGCAACTCCCTGTAATTTCCTTATCTGAGGCATAAATTCAGCAATATTAAGACCTCTGTGTGTGGTTCAAGGCTCCTCTCTTCGACCAGAAATGCCTCAGTTTAACTAGGCATTGCGGTGGTTCAGGAGGTTACACTTCATCTGGAATTAGTCTTTCTTTTTTCTGAAAGCACAGCTGGCATTTTTAGGGAAAAATTTTCATGTCTCCAGAGAGCATATGAACAGTCTGTTGCCACTCAAGGTGCACTTTTTTAGGAGCTGAGTACACCTGCAAGCATGCCAAGTCATTTAAGTGACTGCCATTTGACTCTTCCCCCCACCTCCCCTCTAAAATAGGAGAATTCAAATTTTGCATGTCTGAACAGCACCCTACCTTCCTCAGAACATTTTTGCATGTAGGTGAGACATGGGCCTGTGGGGAGCCATGCAATGTTATCTTATAAGGGTAACACATATCAGTTTGACCTCATAAGTACTCAAAGCCACAAGAAATTCCCTATTGCCTTCTTTCTAACACCAGAATATTTTTCTGCTTAATCTATTACCTTCTACTATTAAACTACTTTTTTTACTGTCAAAACTGCACTAATATCACTAGAGTCAACCTAAGAGACACATGCAAGCCCCTTTCCCACAAGCCATAAACTCTGAATTGCCTATCAGCATCCCAGATTCCTCTGGTACAAGTAATATATAATTAAGAAAGATAATTACCCTTGATCATCTTTGGTGGGGAAAAGAGAGAGGAACAAAAAAGCCCAGTCTTTATGAGCTTCCCTGCACCCCACTTTGGATAGCAAAGCAGCAGTGTTTTTTTCATTTTAAGAATCTTACAGATTGGTTATCATACTCAACCTCACCTTGACAGCCTTAAACATCTGGGCAATATTTAAAATACACAATTAAGAAAAAAGAAATCCACAAAATAAACTTATTTCACTTTACATTTGAGTCTTACACAACGATAAGCAAAAGCTGTGTGCCAACACACATTTTTTCCCAAGGCAGAGAACTGTGCTTTCCACACGCAAAGCTTACCAGGTAGATCAGATGAGCACTCATTGCATAATGAAGTGAAGCTCTGCTTCACTGGCTGCCACCATCCCCGCTGCTCACTGCACGGCTGCTACAGTCTTCTGGCCAGGAACATTTCTGCTTCCACACCTCCCAGTACATCAGTAGTCTCAGCAAGAAGCTAAACACAGCATCACCAACCTTCAGCATGACTTCACTCTTCTTCTCAAGGTTGTCTTCCATAAGAGCACTTATTTAACTTGTACCCAGAAGTCTGTTCTTCCCATCTAGAAAAGACCTCATGCAGCTGTAGGCTCTGTTAAATAACTCATTATAGCCAGATTTCCATCACCTGTTTTTGTCCCTGGCAACTTCAGCAAAGCCTCCTTTTTTTGCCTCCTGCTGCCCTGGTTTCACCAGCTGAAAGCAGTATAGGGCAGGGTGGGTGGAAGCCCATGGAGTCTTTATGGGGACATGTAAGGTTTGTACACCATTCCATGCAGGAAAGGAACTGTTACGCTAGGCTCAGGTAGGCTGGGCATTGCTGTCCTCCAGCTTCAGAAAAAGAATAAAGAGACAAAAAGTAAATAGGTGCACTTCTAAAACCAGTATCAAATTTAGAAGTGACCAAAACCAGGACATAGGATTGACACTCTTTCTCTCTCTTTTGCTCATTAAGCAAATGTTTACTGCCCATTTTTCTGAATTTTATTGATTTTAAGATTATCTTTTCTTCATCCATGTGCAACAGTATATGTTGCAAGCACTCTTGCTCCCAATGGCAGCCTGTGGACAGGACTCTTCCCCCCAGAAAGCTCTTCTGGAGGCTTACTTCTTCCAGGGCTTACAAAACACCTATTGAAGGTGCCCCAGCCACACTCATCTTCTCCCCGTGCTTAGCTAACCATAGTCAGTCACAGCTGCAGTCTGCTTTCAGACATGGCCTTGCCTCAGAGAGACTCTGCTGAACACAGCCTTGCTCAGCTCCCCAAGCCCAAACGGCTCAGGGACGGGTCTCAGGCTGCTCCCTCCCCTTCCTCAGCTGGTGGTGGCCCTTCCAGGTGTGCTGGATACAGCTAATGGCTGTGCCTCATTGCATAATGAGTATGCATAACCAGGCATGAAAATGCCTCATTGGAGGGCTGAGGTAACCTCCTTGGGCAGTGTAGGGTCATATGTGCTGTGGCTGTAAGGGTACAGTACAGTGGAGGCTGAGCTTTATTATAAATAAAATAAGACCTTTGTTTGGATACTGTTGTAATTCAGGTTCCCCCCGAGAGGCAAAATCTGGTCACTGACTGATACAGTCTGAAAATGGTTGAGCTCTCAACACTGCAAGCGGAGTCTCCTTCCACTGTAAACCAGAAACTGCACTGGGGATATGTGTTTTTTCAAGCTAAAAGTTTACATTGTTGGGCAAAAGCGGGCTGGGATTTTCAGCTGAAAACTCTGAAAAGCTAGGGAAAGCTGATGTTTGGTAGTAGAGTTGTAATTCAAGACACTTGCTTTGCTCTGCAGTTTAGTTCTCTGAATTATACTTTTCCTTCTGCTTTTATGCCTGTCTGGATAGACACACTATCATGTTTGATGTCACAAGCCTCAAAACAGACACTGGTAAGAGAGACTGGAGCATGTAACAAGCTGAGTCCTGGCTGTTGACAGTGACTTGAAAGGGGAACTGCTTTTGGTCTTTAGCCCAATATATGCGCAGCACCGGTGCAGGCCTAGAACACTGGAATGACCACACTGCTTCCAAGAACATTTATTTCCGTATTTCATCTGATTACTTACCCCTTATGCTTCACAGAATTTTGGCCATTAGAACAGTGCACTTCAGCTTTTCTTCCTGGCTCAATTGCAGAGTCAGCTGCTTTTGTTCTGCTCCCTGCTGGGAATGAAAGTTTTCCATTCAAATTAATTCCTCTGCATTTTAATTTATAAAATCATTTTATGAAACAGGTTTGGTCAAAGTGTTAATTTAATAGTGCTTTCTGTGCTGAAAATATGGAATGTCTATGCATAAATGCATAGAAACCTTCTCCCATACCCCAGCCTTCCCCTAGAGAATGTAACACCACGATCTAATAAGAGTTGTCCAACATCATAGTGGCAGACTCCCCCATTTGTTCAAGTTTCAGTATAGTTTCAACTTTATAAAAGTAACTAGTATACAAGTTATTAAATGAGCAGTATGCGTAGGTGAGGTGTATCTGGCTTCCTGCCATGCCTGTCCACCTGTGTTCACCAGCAGGCTACCCTCACCCCAGTCCGTGCCTGTCTGCCTGTCCGTTCACCAGCAGGCTACCCTCACCCCAGTCCTTGCGTGTGCTGGAATTGGTTGGTATGGTTGGTAACATCTCTGCCTGATGTCCAGGACATCTGTACAAAGTATCTGTCTCCCTGAGACCTTGGAAAAGTCATTTAGTTGAAGTGGGAATGACAGACCTTCTTTCTGGGGTACTGGGAGAATATGAGTACCAACATGAAAACCAAATATGAATATGAATACTGGGAGAATATGAATACCAAAGAGCATGAGACTCAGGGACAGGTGAGTGCACCCACACAGACCAGCAGAAAAAGGCACTGTTTTGGTCAGACCCTCTGCACGATGTCCCATGGGAAGGGAGATGGGGCCTCTAGGGCATTATTTACAAATCAGGAACCACAATCTGACAGGCTAGCAACAGGAGTTCGGGGAGACAAAACTCATCCAGGGCTTTTCTCTTACCAATATAACACCCTTTTCACGCTTCTCCTTTTTTCAGCCAGACTTCCTACAAAACCAAGACTTGCTTAACCATGTCTGCCCATCTTCACTTCCCTGCATCCCCTTCCCCCCTTGTGAACTGACCAATTAATTAAAATCAAATCTGACACCTGATCTCAAAGACTAAGATCCCCAGAATTTGGGAGAAAAATGGCCAGCTAGGGAGACCCCCAAGCAGACCCCACACTGACAAAGTGAAGGCAACTTGGGCACTGAGTGGCCAGGGCCCTCAGTCCTGGCACAGCACATGCTGCCTCCTGCCTGGCTGGGAGCAGGAGGACACCGAGCAGAAGAAAGGGGAGGAAGAAAGGCAATAATGATGTGATGAAGCCAAATGATAGGAAACCTGGTGTCCTTCGTTCTGCTGGCCACTGAGAAAGTTTTCTGTTTTTTATTCCAGGTCAACCAGACACAACATGTCACGCAGTAGTTGGAGAAACTGTCATTTTGCCTTGCACCACTCCCTCTCCTGGAGACCTGATCCTTTCCAATTCAATGCTCTACTGGCAGATAGGGCACACTGTCTTAGTCCACTTTTTTTACAAGGGGCAGGACTCGCTGGAACACCAGAATGAACGTTACTCTGGCAGAACTAGTCTTTTTTTGGACCAGATGAAGCATGGCAACTTTTCCTTAAAGCTCTCCAGTGTCCAATTACTGGACACAGCTGAATATACTTGCATCTACAAACGGACTGGGGATCATCCCAACCAAACACAGAAATCTAAAATTAATCTCATTGTATCAGGTAAGACATTTTTTTTTGTTGAGAGGAAGAGAGTTGAGGGCAGCACTTCTTCTGACAAGCCATCTATGGCCATTGACTGAGATTACTTCAATTTATAAAGCAAATCTTCACTCAGTTTCACTCTATTCCTTCCTTTTGTTGGAAGAATAAGTAAGAAGGGGAAAATAATTGCATCTTTGTTAAGGTTCAGCACAGCATATCCGCAGAAGTAGCAGGACTCCTGAAGGGCCAGCTGCCTGCCTCTTCCCCCTCCCTTTACAAGAGACAGTAATGAATAATGTGATCTCCCCGACTTTTAAGCATTTGGTTATTTATGAGTTTGTACTGTTCTGAATCCACCTTGTCCCAGATGAACAGAAGAGTTTATTTCATTATTTGCACTTGGGTCTGTGAAGCAAGATTAGTTTCATCTCTAGCAATTGGATCCAAAGCCCGGGCCATACAGCCTTTTTTAAATGGAAGACAGGCACTTGCTAATTACCTTTTTCCTTCCAGCTGGAAGATCTGGGTCTGGTGGCAAGGCTGGACACATGCAACAAGAATTATTATTTTTCTTCCTTAAGAAATGAGTGAGACCATAACACATGCTTCAATAATGGCAAACAACTGAGCTAACATGTTTGAATTACTTCAAGCATGGCCAGCAGAATGATGGGGCGTTGAGTTTGACCAGCTGACTAACTGAAAAAGCAAATTAAAACAAGAAGATACACGTCAAAACAAATCATAGTTTTTAAGGTATTTTGCTTGAATAAATCAGCTGGAAACTTTCATTATGGTCAACGGCATACATTTAATTCTGCTTAAAATAGAAAAATTTTGCTTTCAAGTAATATAAACCCTTTAATATCTTTGTTTTAATGTACATCGTTCTCAAGAGAAAGATGTTTTAAAAATGTAAAGTGACATACCTTTGTTCAGACATACATTTGTTCAGAAAATTTCAGAGTGAAATGTTTTGCAGTTTTCAAAATGAAAAAAAAGTGTTTAGAAAATGCAGAATCAAAATATGATCATATTTAAAGATTCAATTTGTTTGACAAATGCATTCTTTCTCAGAAAAAAAAAACAAACACTAACCTTTAGATCAATTATCAATTACTTTTCTGTTCTAGGCTCAAACAAATAACTTTGATTTTTGTGGTTTTTTTCCAGCTCCACCTAGCATTGAAGAGGCACCTTCCCCTTCTGGTAAGGCAACACTCCTTAGCTTGCTAAGTGTCTAAGGATTATCCAGTGCTTTAATTTGAATTTGCAAGATTGGTAAAATATGCTGAATAGAGAAACTCCAATAGACTTATGGTGCTTGTTCTCTCTTACTAAGTCTAGCAAAATATCAGTGTCCCAGACAGGGAAAAATATCTTCACCACTAAGCAGATCTAGACCACAGAAAGAACACTGAAGCGCCAGCAGTCACTAGTCCATAAAGCTACTCCCTATTATTGGCACCATAAAAACCATAGAATTCTATGATTCTATGATTATGGGTACCATAAAAAACATAGAATTCTATGATTCTATGATTACGGGCACCATAAAAACCAAATAAAAACCAAGTAACATGGAAGCCATTCAGTTCTGTGAGTGAGGGCCTTTGTAAATTACCTTGGTGTGAATGAACTACCAGATCAAGAGATCTGGAGGTCTTTTGGGGTAAGTAAGGTAATATTCTAAAAGTACATGATTAATGGCATCACATAAGCTCTTCTGGGAAAAGTAAAGTAGACGTCATCCAAACACAATTCTGAAGTATAGTGCAGATACTAATGTCTAGGTTTAATCATTACAGAGAAGTAAGGGTCATTACACTAGGGTCATTTTTAAACATTTCTGGAGTGAATACAATAGAGAATGGCTGTCCAGCTCTGACATGCCATCATCAGTAAATTCTCCTGTAAAAATCCTGCTTATAAATCAAATTATTCTATTAGCTCTACAAAATCTTGAATCAGTATCAAACATTTTGTCACAGAAAAATCAACAGCTGCAATTTGCATTCTACTCACTGCAGCTGAAAGATATAATCCATTACATGACAATAATGATATTATAGTTAACGTAATAAGTTCAGCTACAATACCATGTTACAGCCAGATTAATCAGCAATAAACTCAAATAGAAACTAAGGAAGAGAAAACTTCAAGTGTTTTATCTCATGACCACTCAGAAAAAATCAACTCTGTACTTCATGAGCAGTAAACAACTTGAAAAATTACAGGAAACATTCTTTCTAGATCTGAGATAGCTCCTGTAGTTGGGTAAAAGGTCTTTAGTTAACTTCACTAAACATGAAGTTAAATTCAAAATGGTATCATGTGTCATCAGCAACACAGCACCAAACTATAACGTTATAAAAGCAAACAGAACAGAAGCTAGAATATCTCTAGCTGTTACCTTTCAGAAGAAATAAGAAATTATCAAGGATCAAACTTTCTAATGCAGTAGCAATGGAATTTTCTCAAAACCAGAAGATAAGTAGGCTGTATTTAAAGAAGAGAGTTGCATATACATTTGACTCAGCCAAAAACTTTCCGACAACTATTCTTCAATATGAACTACTTCTTACCACAGAGTTATTTTCATTGGGAAAAAAAAAACAAAAACAAACAAAAAAAGTGACTGGGACAAGGGGAAGTGTATAGCTTTGCTCTAGGAGAACAAACTGAATCACGCACTTTAGTCACCTAAAAGTTCTTGTACTGATGGATTTTGAGGGGTTTGGGGATGGAGGAAAGAACAAAACCCTAGCTTTTGAAACATAACTTTTTACAAAAAGGAAAAAATATTTCCTGTTGTCAACTTCTTTTAAAGAAATCATCAGCCACAGTCCCCCCCACCCCCCTTTTTTTTTATTTTCAGCAATTTCTTAAGAAAGGGAGGAAGAGAATCTATTTTGTATTAGTTGTTATTTTAGAAGGGACTTAGAAAAGTTAAGTGACCTGCTGAGAACAAAGACACTGCATGCAGAAATAGTTCTCACACTTTGCAGTCATCGTAACCAGATCAGCAGATATTTATTATTTTTATATAAAATAGAAACAGGTTTGATCTGTTTCACTTCTGCTTTGTTTCTGTTTGTTGTTTTACTAATTATTTTAAAGAGCTTAATTTTACTTTGACTCTGGGTTTCTTGTGAGACTGCTTCTGGGTTGATCAAAAATTGGGAAAAATGGAAATGCCTAGGGCTGGAAGAGGTCACAAGGGACCAGGAGTCTTGCTGTAATCCTAAATTTATTTTAAAGCGTTACTGAGGGCTACCCAATGTTTACTTGCTCTTTACATATTAATACCACATATTCCTTCTAGGAAGAGGGGGAGGAAGCACCCCTACTAGTGATTAATTAAACTGCAACAACATACTGAAAGTTGATACCACAGCAATAGGAACAGCCTAAGAATTGGTACAGAAAACGATATACAGCCTGATCTACCCAGAGAAGGACTTGGACCTAAACAGGAAAAATTTGTCTATTGCTTAAGTCAGGGGTTCAAAATCTTTTCTGAATTGTGTACTACATCCAGCACGGGTTGCAGGTACCACCTGTGCCAAGGCTAATCCATGTCCTCTGTCCACGTTGTGGCTTACATACCAATAACGTCTGGGGCCTAGATTTTTTAATACTCATTACCATTATTTATGGACTCTTAACCTACCTCGGGCCCTAAGCAGGTAGAATGATCATGTGTTTTATACTCTTCTAGTTGTTGTTGTTCTATCAGGATTTTAAAGAAGTATTCTCAGACATCCAGTAAAGGAAGTTGTATTCATTGTTGCCGAGTGTCTGTGCCTTTTCTGTGAAGGAGGAAAAAAAAAAAAAAGATTTGTCATAGTACTTGAGACTGTTTTTTCTGGAGGGTAAAAATACACAAAAAAAGGAGAATTTTGAAAATGAGCCAAAATCCACATGATTTTACAATCTTCCATCAATGCATTCATGTAAAATATATCGCACAAACTCCAAATACACTTTTTGTCATGCCACCAGTTACATGTCAACTTTCTCTTTTTTAATTTTTCAGGACACAGCCAGATTTCCTCCAGAAGCCCTGCTGATGTGCCATTTCTGGCTATGCTTCCCCTCTCTTTCCACCTCCTGGTCTCACTGGGGGTTTGGCAGTTGTAACTGGGGAACAGGAGAATCTTTGGGAATTTCTCCTCACCAGAGGACCTCGCTGGGCAGAACAGCTCTGTAGGGTTAGCATGACACCTGCTCCAGAGCCATGGGGGAAGAATCATCAAAGCTGAGAACTGACCTAGCACTAGGTGTTTATATCCCACATTCTGGTGTTCCACAAAGCCAAAGGCAGCAACACTCAGAGGTGGCACGTCTACTTTCTCATTTTTTTCTGGGAGCCCAGTTTTAGTGCTGCCAGTATGAACATTTTATTTTGGATTTTGCGGTTTTGCTTTAGCGGCAGGATAAAAGATTCACAAAATTACAAAGTCATATAATTGACCTGAGTGAGATCTTTCTCCTAAGACCTCATCTGCTGTCCTTCAAGAGAACCAAAAAGGAGGAGAAGTGGTAATTAGCCTCTGTGTCAGATAAAAACTGGAAGTAGGAAGACGCTTGCGTTTTGTGAAATGTAAGGATGGAAACCTTGTGAAACTTGAGCCTGTGGAACTTCAGCTTCTATTTTTACTCTTCAGCGTCATGGGCTATCAGCAACAACTTTTTTTTTCCACAAGAAATGTAGTAGTTCTTCAGCGGAAGGATGAAGCTGACTGAGAAAAATGATGGAAGTTCATAAAACATCAACATAGAGGAAGGAAGTGACGTATTATTACAAAATCCACTGCTAAATAAGCCAAAAGCTTTAGAAGTCTGAATTCGGTATTTTCTCTTTTTGTCCTTAAACACAGCAAGGTAAATGTGATCATCGCCCAAAAGCTGGATTCTTAAGCTAAAACTGTGCGACCAGAAATTGTTACTGTGACAATGTTACTTCTTTAAAAACGGCACCTTTGGAGGAAAAAAGAATTAAAAACTGGTCAGAATAATTGTAACCGATACCTATGCAAATTAAATGGGTTTAGTTCTGGAAACGCTGGACTCAGGTAGCACAGATGTCCTGTATAAAACTGAGACTGAAAGGATCCTGTGTACCAGCAACATCAAGAAAGTGCAGAGGTTTCATTTCAGGCCAGAGCTGCTGCGACTGCCCTCTTATAGAATGGAGAAGCATCTGGAGAATCCTCACCCTGGCCGGTGGGCAGCGGTGATTGCAGCGCACTCCTTCTGCCTGAGCCCTCAAGCAGAGGGAAGTGACTCATCAGGTTGCATATAAAGTCATTTTTATTTGGAACAGTTCCACTCTCTTTCCAAAGGAAAGACGGGATTGTTTTTGCCGGGAAATGAACAGAATAAAATAAAAGAGTTTCAAAATGGTATCCATTGAGGTAAAGGAGATAGTGACCTTTGACTTTCTTAAAGAGGGCCCTTTCTCTGTGGTGGGGAAGAGAGACAAAATCCCACGCACAGCCCCTGCTGCTGCTGCAGTGAAGCTCAGCTGGTGCTTTGGCCACCCTGGGTACGGAGCAGCTTAGCTAACAGCTGGGGTCCCACTTCATAGAAAGATTTGAATATAAGAACTGTCTGCACCGTGATTGTCTTTTTATGTCCTACCCTCCAAATGTTTGTCTCAGAGTCCATGTATTTTTCAAAACAAAAGTTGATTAAAAATAAAAACTTAAAAAAACCCAAACCCCTGATGAGAGCAATTGCTTGGTCTCTAAGAGTTCTTTATTTGTGTTCCAGTTGTTCGTACAGCTAGGTAGGAGCTAGCTAGCAGGACTTAGGCTAGGCTCCCTGGGCAATCAGAGAGTCCGAAAGGTGGAATTTGTACTGGTCTGCCAGTCCCACGAGTCTGAACTGCTTGCCCTCATCTCCAGGGCCGTACGACTTCTAAAAATCTAACAGCCACTTAAGCAGCCCTCTGCTTTTCAAAAGGTGTTGAGGCACACGAACAACACAAGCACCTCCACTCACACGTGCAAGCTGTGACTATACAACTGCAAAACTTTCTTGGGCAAGCAAATGAATAATGACTCAAATACCTTCATGTGGGCACGCAGGGCTAGAACAGAGCCCCGCTGCTGTGGAGAGAGACGGCCCAGTTGTACATTCAAGAGCGGGCACTGCGCTGGCTGGTGCCTACGAGGAATGCCCAATTCCCACTGTCATCTGCCTTTTTCACCCTCAGAAGAGATTGTCCCTGCCTGTGCAAACTGGTGTGAATCACAGTAAGCACATGAGCAGATGACAGAAGGAATGAAGGCGGGGGGGAGAAGACTGGATGACCTCTAAATGTTGCTTACAACCCTACTTTTTTATGACTCAGATTTGTAGCAGCACTTGGGATGTTTAAACGTCCCTGTTTATTATATTTTCCCAGAGCTGTAGTTAATGCCATTCCCAGCAGTAACGTATGACTGCCACTCCATTTTCCTGGGAGACTGCAAGGGAAGGTTTGAATGACTAGCAGACCTTGATTTGTCCTTCCTCACCTGGGTGATGACACAGCCAACGTATCTCTTAAACGTCACTCAATGTGCAGAACATGAGCAGCACATACTTCTTGTGTTTTCCAGAGTTTCAGCGTGACAGAGAAGGGGTATCTTTGAAAACTAAGGAGCACAATAACAATTCAGACATTTAAGAAGGAGGAATCTCCACTTCTCTCACTTGTAGTACCTTGGTGGCCCACACCTGCATATTTCATAAGCCAGGAGCATAAGCTGATAGTCTGCTACGTTAGAGAAATTCTTAAGAGATCCTTGTACATTATTCTTGCAAAAGAATGGCTGTAAAAGCAAGTTCATTTTTCCACATTTGACAGTGATGCTGGTAAGAGACAAAAATGAGTTAGTTTGCTCATCTTATAGTTTATCTATATGTACAGTGAGGCCAGTTTAACTGGTTAATGCTTTCCACTGAGCTCCTTTCAGTTCCACGGGATGTGGGAGAAATAGCTCATATAGATCACCAGAGATAAATGAATGTAATACATTTGATTCAGAATTTTCACTGTTCTGTCAGATAACATTCACATAGTGTGGTACTCAGCAGCTGAACAAAGGTTACTGAGGAATACTGAAAACAAGTGTGGAAGGTGGTTATTTTTAAATATGCAGCACAAAATCATATTGCTATGGGTAATGCAATCCTCATTGCAACTTCTGTTTCAGTTTCTGGGATTGTCCAAGTTTAGTCCCTTCTCTTTCCCTCTCTTTTTCTTTCTGCAGAAATTCTGACCACCACTGAAATCACCTTGGAAAAGATAACCAAATATCAGTTCCTTAATTCTTCTGAGGGCTAAGGCTGACCCATACAAGAAGTAAGTTTTCCCTCAGCCACTTCAAGCCATGGGAAGGAGGAAGAAACACATGTCAAACAAAAGCCTCAAGCCTTGGAATGCAAACAACTCTCAATTATTTGCAGATGGAGGACTATCTAAGCTCCCACTCCGAAAGAATAAAAAAATATATATGTATACACACACATATAAGATACTGTTAGCTTGAAAACACACAGACCCTTCAAGAAACAGAGTGTTTCCTTCCAGGTATATTTCTTGGCCTAATAAAACTCCCTCCCCTACAAACCTTGTTTTTAGGCCACCTTGGCTATAATAGCATCATTATTTACAAAACCAAACCAAACCAAAGCAAAAACCAAACCCCTTAAAACCAGCAAAAAAAAATCCCAGCCACTGTGTACTTTTATGACATTATACTACACTTTTCCTCCTTTTTCAGTGATAATTATATCACAGGAAGGCTTTAGAGCTTAATATAAGTATATTTGATGCTACACTTTCGGGGGATATTTAAGTAGTCACTGTGTTAAAGAAATGAGTTGAAGAAAAGACAGTGGGACAAAGGCATTCATTACGATAGAACTGGATTTCCTATTTCTTGTTGTTAAACCAGTAGGAAGCACGATTTGCTTGATTCCCTCTGTGCTAGAAAAAGTCAACATAACAACGTCATACAGAAAACAACACCTGGAGTTAAACCTGCACGGAACATTGTTCACCAAGTGCCCCCTGCAGGCACCGTATTCATCCAAAACGTGTCTCCACAGGAGCCACAACCCCAAGGGTCAAAACGAAAAGCACATCTCAAGCCCTAACTCTCACTTCTGCTTTTAGAAGAAAAAAAGGCAGCGCTGTCAAATTTGTGAAGGCTGAAACAATCTGCAGCAAAACGTTTCGCAAGACGGTTGTTGCGTATAAGTATCAATGAGGGCAACATGGGGCAGGCAGAAACACAACAGAGGATTAACAACTCCTCCCCACACCCCACAAGTCCACCCCATCACATCAGTGGAAACCGACACAAGCAGGAGGGGCATTTATTACCGCTCCCTCTGAACAGGGCAAAGTTCTTAGATGAAAAATGGCAAGGTCCGTAAGCCAGATATTGCATGCCTCCTTGTGGAGGCTCGAAGAATACACATTCTTTCACTTTTTATTTCCGATAGCCTTTAACAAAACCTTAATCGAAAGCTTATATCCACTTGGCTGAACCTAGCAAACCACTCAGCAGCTCCAAACAGCCCTATGGAAGGGAAAGAAAAACCCAACTTGGCAACCGAACGTCTCTATTAATCTCCAAATGCATACGGAATTTCCCTCCAAATTTACACTGGCTAAAAGCCAAGATAATATTATTACATCTCCCACCAAATTTCAAAAATCTTCTGTTACGAAAAAATATTTTAAAATGTGTGTAGCAAAGGTTTGTACTCTGCACATTACTGTGACATTAGGGAGAATAATTTAAAAAAAAAAAAAAGGCAATTCTGGTGCATGATTCTCCCTTAAAAAAACATCAAACTCTGAATGATGGAAAAAAAGAAGGGCAAAAAGATCTTTAAAACGATTACTTCTGAAAATAAAATTTTGTCAGTGCATATCTGTTTGTCTCATCCCCACTAAACACCCAAGCTTCCAGTGCTGACAACACTGTATGGGTAGCTCACTTTTTCAACTACCCTGAGAAACAGTGCAGGCACTGAGGAGGAGCTGGTTCCTTAATTACTCTCATTACAGCTTCACAGCCCTTAGCCCTCACACAGTCACTGAGAGCAAGACCACCATTTTTACAGTATTGCTGCTATTTAAGCAGATGAGATGTCACGTCAAAATAGGGGAGCTTTTCAATTTGCATACCTGATTCTAAGCACGTGCCACCACGATAATCAAACCTGGAAGCCACCAGCTTGGGATCCACGTGACCACCACTGCGTCTGCTTAGAAAGGTACACAGTAGGTTGTTAGTAGTCTTCATTATTTGGGTATCTGGATTCGAGAAAGAATGTCAGTCAGCTGTAAAAAGAGGCAACATCTGGATGATCTAGCAACCAACTTGCAACAGCTGGTCACTGCACAATAATAGCAACTTCTTCAAAAAAACCATCTTTTTTTCCCAGGACACCTGGATCTAAGATTCAGAACCAAAGAAAGCTTTATGCCACCACAGCTGCACTTACTAGGATCTGCAGGCACAAGAAACCCTAAATACAAACACACAACCTGCTGTGGCGAGGGGAGCTAATGGAGATTTGACTCAGAGTCCCTGATGGGGAGAGTTGAGCTCAATTTAGACCACTCTTACAGCAGATGATGGTGCTGTTAACACAGGCAGCAGCAGCTCTCCCTCTGCTCCAAGGATTTCAATACCATCTCTGTTTTGTGATGCCTTCTTATGTTACCCAATTTCTTTTAAAACTCCTGCAGATATAAGAAAGTCATATATTTTTAGATGTCATTACATTTTATATGAATGATGACCTTCCATACTCTGCTAAGCCTGTGTATAACATTGGTATTATAAACATCCACTTATGTACAAGCAAAGCTTATGGAGGAAAGTACTTGCAGTGAATTACATTGTGAGAGTGTTTTAAATTCTGTTTCTTACCAACTTGATACTGAAAATTTCATGAAGAATTTGATGCACCAGCAAAAAAGTTTCAGTGTGCCCAATATCCACTTTATGAACCGTGCTCCTTACCACGATGACCTGGTTTGTCTGTGATTTCTTTCTAACCACACGGGAGTTGGGGATCTGCAGAAGGGAGCTCTACAGAATCGCCCAAGAAAACAGTGCTACCTTTGAAGTACGATCTCAGACCTTCTAAATCCAAACATGATTTTATTTAGCGACAAAAATTTAAAAGAAGATAAAAAGTTTATTGTGTGAACACTGATTGAGCAAGCTGAGCGTGCCAACCTTTCATACTCAAGCTTCACTTCTCCTCTTTGTTCCCCCATAAAAAAATGTCATTCCACATCCCTAGCAAGTCTTCAGCCCCAGACGGTATTTACCATTCTCCAACCCAATCTAAGGCTTGTACATTTCATTTATGAAGCACACAATTCTCCCTTAAAAGTACAGGTTCTCTTCAGCGTGTCTTGTCATGTGAAAGGAATTATAATACAAGGTAAGAGGTGTCATTTTGCTTGTGTATTTTCATTCAAGAAATGTTGCTTCCTGCTGAACAGAAAAGTAACAACTTGGAAGGCAGAGGAAGGAGACCCTACTGGATTCTGTATGGAAAAACCGTCCAAAAGATGTGAAGAGAACTGAAAAACAGAAAAACTGCTAGAACATTATCAACCAGTGTAAGTTATCACAGGCAGCTATCAAACAAAAGTGAACGGACAAGGATGAGATAAAGGCAGAAATGAATTTATTT